GCGGACGTAGTGATATTGCAGGTTTTTGACACTTCCGGGTTGGCTTCATTTTTCGGGGCCGGTTGCTACGTCCATCTTTTATACAGTCTATGCTCTCACCACTGCAGCTCTCTTTCAGGTTTGTAGAAAGGATGGTTGATACTTTAGACTACAGTCTACAAAATACAGTATATATGTTTTCAGTGCATAGGGGACATCAATAAAATACCTACTGGGTCATACACTAGGAGTGATACACAGTACAAAGAAAGAACTCTAATTTAAAAAATGGATGTAGTCACCATGATGTCACCCATTGTTGATGGACTACTGTTACAAGCTTTGAGTTTGGCATGTGGCCACTGATATCTTGGTCTGTTGAAATCAGATGTGACAAGCGACTGTTGGACCTGACTGAGAACAGTAGCAGTCAATCACAAGAGCGCCACCTCAAACACATCTTGCTTTATCTTCTCTTTAAAATGAGAAAATGAACTCACTGGAAATATGTTTACAAAGGTAACAAATCAGGTGAGAAGTAGGGTGGTATTCTCATAGAGTTTTGCAAACAGAGGAGACGCCCACTGCTGGCTGTTAGAAAGTGGCTTCACTTAACAGACCCAAAGGAGTAGCTATAACTCTGTCTTTTAAATTTGACATTGTCAGAGTAATTGTTAGCCTCTGATTTCAGCCTCAGAAGAAGACAATAGTTTTGGAATTACAAAGAAAGCAAAAAAAAGGGGGAAGAAATGGGATGACGGTGTGGGCGCTGTAAATGTTCAGGTTAATTAATAATGTTTACCAGAATCCTTAAAGACTCTTCTAACAACACGCATTAAAGAAAACACAATAAATAGAGTTTGCAGCCGACTTCCCAAGTTAGAAAGCGAGATTGTAGCGTTCATTATGCATATGTTTGACCATTTTTCTATCCCTACTTTCAGAAGAGTCTTTGAAGATTCTGGGTATACTCTTGTAACAACGGTAAGTGTTATTAAACTACACATGCTTATCTTTTTATCATAGCAAATGCTCGATCTTTGTGACTCCAATGTAATGTTAAAGCTAACACTGAGTCAATACATGAGAGGGCTAGTGTGAGAGCAGTTGTGGTATCATTTACTTTACCTTCATATTTACGTGCAAAAATATTTTCTTACTTGTGGAATTGATTGTTGGAGCTTGTTGGAGACTTTATGTCAGGTCATGTCATTCCTATATTCCAAGGGTTACTTCTGAATGGCAGCTCTTTTTTTTATAAGGTATTGTTATGAGGTAAGTTATGTGGGCAAAACACCCCAGTTGGTGTACAGTTAGGATGTTATTGGTGCCTCCTTTAGCTGTGACAAAATCAAATAAAACAAGATCATCACACAGAGAAACTGTAAGCTCACCTCACTGCTGGACGACTCTCCTCCCGAGCCAGAAACACAGGCCTCAGAGCACAGTACCATCGCACACCTCGTACACCTGCAGATACAAATTCACACTGTAAGCAGCCATAGTTCTCCACAGATTGATATGTGTACATATCAGCAGCTTGGCTGTTAACACAAACATTGTTTATCTGCTGAATATGGATTTCCTTCAATAAAAGCCTTCCCTCCCCGCAGAGACTTGTCATAAATCTTGGCCTGTGTCGTCGGGTTGCCCCAGTTATTGTTGCTGCATGTGAACGATTGACGGCTACCGTGGCCCCGAGGTGACTCTATCACCACCCACGGATGAGTCACACATATGCAAGTGCGTGCACACTGTATTCATGTCACTCTGTTATTATTCTCCTAAGGCTGTTTGGCTGATTTATTTCATTCTTTACCTTTCAAACTGTTTCTCTAAGCTGCACACACATGCCGGAGCACAGTCTGCAGCCTACAGTTTAACCCGACCGCAGTATAAAGTGTAATGACGACCAAATTAACACCGAAGATGCAAAAGCAGAGAAAATCCAGCGCAGTTAATGACGGCTTTTTACTCTCCTTTTGCTGCTAAGAATGACTTATTACCAGAATCTGTCCAATAAACTAGGTTGTTGTGAGTTGGTTTTCTTTACAAGCCTTCGACTGTAATTTGCAGGGACATAAACAAAACTAATGCACAACGCAACACAGAAAACTGTTTAAGAAAGCTTTGTTAACTGATAAAAAAATGTCAGTGTAAATGGGTTAAATTGTCAGAATAACCGGATGCAATTTTTTGTTTTAATCTTGAGTAAACTTTGAGAAACAGCGTTTACAAAGTATTACATTACCATTTAAATAGATTGCTGAATAAAGCCATTAGCTGAAAGCCTGGTTTTTATGGCTTTGATATCCCGTTTTATTCGTCTCTGGGTTAGTTTCTCCTTATAAAGGAGATCTGACCTTTTTTGGTTGTGTTCTCGGGAAAGTCAAGACAATTAGAGGAATGAAACTAAAAGAAAATTAAAGAGGAACGTCCATTACTAATATAATTTTCTATTCCAATTATGCTTTTAAATTAATTTGTGGAGCCCTGACTAGGGACTCCAGTGGTGGAGACGAACTTCATGTACTGGAGTACTGTGGCTCACTTTGTGGACGTTTGTCTGCAAAATACTTTTTACTCCACTACATTTATTTAGACATTACATTTGCTGGATAATATATGAAATACGGTGCATTATTACAGATGAAACTACTGGACATTTTGATCAGTTAACACAATAAAAATAAGTATTAACAACTATTTATGTATTACTGTGTACATTAATATATTATTTGCAGAGTAATACTTTTGCTTTTGATGCTTTATTTGGCTTCTAAGATTTGTTTCTTTTTACATGAGTAAGATTTTAATCGCAGGATTTTTACTTTTCATTAAGTATTCTGTACTTATGTGTTGGTACTTTTATTTATGGAAAGAATCTGAGGAGTTCATTCAGCACTGCTCAGTATCCAGTCAGATATGTGGAGCAGTAATTTT